AGTGAGGTTTTTTTTTTTTTTTTTCTTCTGTTATTTATAACCTCCTATTGCCTTCTAAGGAGGATGAGTCCTAGAAACTAGAGGATTTTTCCCCCTGAGCAGTTATTTTTTGAGGAATGCAAATATAGAGGAAGAGGCTGGGTGGGGCAGGGCTGCTCGGGCTGGTTCATAGAGAGGAAAGGTATCTGAGGTTACTGAGAAGGAAGGGAGCGATCCCCAAGGGAGGATTTGGGGGGCAGTGAGCCCAATTGTAGGGCTGTAGGGGGTAAAGGAAAGCCCAGAGAGGCAGAGAGGGGGAAGGCAGGGTTTGGAGCCAGACTTGACAGATGACAGCTTTAAGTCGTGTAATGTAACCTCATACTCTGGCTTTCTTCCAACATCTTTTCTAAAATCAACAGTGTTCACTTGTGTGTGTGTGTGTGTGCGCGTGCGTGTGTGCGCGCGTGCGCATGTGTAAGTGTATTCATTTTAGGGCAAGTAAAAAAAAGCTAAGTGGCTTCATTCTGGGGCTTGCAAAGAAGTGCTGAGCACAGTCAAAGAGTTGGACAGAGCAAATACAGACTGCATGAGGGGACAGCTGTTCCTTATTTTATAAGAAAAAAAAAACCAGGACAGCAATGGGGAATTCTAAATGCCAGTCCTATTAGGAGGATAGCAATGACAAAATAAGATTTCAAGTTCCTGTCACTCAGTTGGAAATGGCAAAGAGGTTGCGGTTGTTCAAGGCGGGCTGAGGTCTCGGTCTTCAGATGCTGAATTTTCATGCCATGAATTAACGCAGTGTGGTGTCACTATATCTTAATTCAACACATAACTGTTGGGTGCCTGTTATGTGTCTTGTGCTGTCATACTTGTGCCGTGCTTTATTTGAGTGTAGCCCAAAGACAACAGGGTTCTCATGTGGCCCAGACTACGTATGCATTCAGGAATCACAGTTCAGACACAAAAGCAGTGAAAATCTTGGCTCACTTTTGAGGAAATATTAAAAAGTATCCAATTCATCTTCTTACTTTCTTCATCCCACTCTTAGTGCCTTCAGTCCCTCACCCATCCCTGCCCTTAGCCAGCCAATGTGGAGTTCTGTTTCTTTCCTTCTGATCCTTTTTATTTCCTGAGTGAGGACTCCCAGCCATTTCCAGAGCAAATGGAGGTTCTCTGATTTCTCTCTCTGTTCACTGTCCTGATTCTGCCTCACAAAAGCGCAGGAACTAGTGGTAAAAGCAGGCATCCCCCTAGAGGACAGGAGGGGGAGATATGGAAGCAGCAAAACGGAGAATCTTCTTTCATGGGGAGTGAAGGGCATGGGAGGCACTCAGTTATTAATAAATTTGCTCCTGTTCCGTCAAGGCTGATATTTATGCCTTTTTCATGCTTGAGGGAAAATATGACTTTTCTTTCCCTCAAACATCCCTTCCTAGCCTCTTTCCACTCCCACCTGTGTGGCTTTTCTTGAAGCAAGTGATAGCAGTTTTCTTTTAAATGGATAATACCAGCTGATATATTATAATCTACAAAGCGCCTTCAACTACCTGGGCTCATTTCATCCTGGGCTCATTTCATGAATGGGGGCACCATGTTATTCATTCTCTCAGTGGTCTGCTCCCCTTCCCTTCTCTTCTTCCCACTTCCTCCTCCTCCTTCCTCTCAGTCCTTCTCCCTCCCTTCCTCCCCTCCTTTTCTCTCCCCTCCGCTTCCCCTCCTTTTCACTTTCATTCCTCTCCCCCTGCCCCTGTCCTCCCTCCCCGTGTCTTCCACTCTCCCTCCCTCTCTTCTCAGCAGGTCTTGGGAGCGCCCACTGCGTCCAGTCTCCAGAGATGTCATTGTACGTTGGTTTAAGGAGGAGCAACTGCCTCGCCGAGCTGGCTTCGAGAGGAACACCAAGTCCATTGCACCCTGGTTCCATGGTAGGACACTGTCTGGGTCCTGGGCCAGCTGATTCTCATGTCTCTGCCTCTCTTGGGTTGGGGAGGGATTCCTGAAAAATGATTATAATCTGGGGGCAGAGGACTTTAGACTATGCTGTCTCCCTTCTGCTCTCAACATCTCCAAGCCAGAGACTGGAGGCCCCAGGGAAACTGGACAGGCAATCCTCGATCTGCCCGCTGCTCTCACCGTGCAGCCTCTTTGGCCATCAAGGCACCTCAGAGGCATCTTCTCTGTAGTCATAAATTAGCTCTCAGAGGCCCACAAGCTCCTGGTGGGCAGGACCCGCATCTTGTTGCCCTAGCTTGTCTCCCCGGATACTGACCACAACCTGGCATGCTGTAGGCTCTGAGTAAATACTCACTGATTAGATGACAAGTGGCTGGATGAAGAGGTTGGAGTTACCCAAACAGAATATTAGAGCTGGGAGGTTCCCTGAAAGTCCTTCCTTGCCCACCTTGCTCCCAAAGCTTCAGCCTTTTTTCTGTGCCTCAAACAAACCATCTCTTTTCCATCTCCGGCCCTTTGCACTTGCTATTGTTCTGCTCACTTTTGCTGTCTTTGTGCAGCCCTCTGCATGACTGACCATTCTCATTTTTCATCTCAAATATCTCCTCCTCAGAGGGGCGTTTCCCGAACCCCTTATCTACAGCAGCCTTCCCCAATTTTTCCCAATTCTTCCTGTTTATTTCCTTAAGAGCACTCAATTGGCATTTGTCTTATTTTCTATTCTTTTATTTGAATGTGAGCTAAGGACCTTGTCTATTTTCCCCCATGCCTGGCTCAGTAAGTATCCATGGGAGGAATAGATTCAGCTGGAAACTAAGTGTTTGAGTTGGGATTAGATCCCAGACTTTCCGGTTCCAAAGAACAGCCCTTGCATCTCTGCACTGGATCCTGGTAGATGTGTGAGTCTCCTCTGGGGTGGGAACAATCAGAAAACCCAGAGCCACACATGGGAGGGCTAGGCCAGTCTTCCCAGTTGGCTCTGTGCTCGGCAGGGCCAGACTCTATGTCTAAGACATTTTTGTAATTAACCCTCACCCCTGCCTCCCACTTGTCCATGGATCAGGTACAGAAATAATTCCAAGACAAACACACCATCTTCCTCTGTTGCCACTGTTATTGAGATCTCCAGCTCAATCAATGGCATCCTCATTATGTAGACCAGTTTGGATTTGGGTATGCCTTGGTAACAAAAGCATCCAAGGTCTCAGTGATTCCCACCAATTAAGGTTTATTTCTTACCCACGATACATACCTGTTGGGAGTTGGTTGTAGGCTTTAATCTGGGCCTCAGCCTGAAGGAGCTGCCTCTATTGGAAGCTCTGATGGTCTCATGACAGAGGGAAAAGAGAGATCTGGTGACCTGTACTCTGGTCCCTAAAGCTTCTGCATGGAACTGACACGTGTCATTGTTGATCACGTTTTGTTAGTCAGAGCCAGCCTGGTATCCATGGTTGCAGTGCACAGTTTTGAATGATAATGAGTCTATTATAACCATCATCTACTTTTAGTCCTCTTCCTTCTCCCAGGTCTCCACACATCCAGCAGAAGGATGGAGTGGCTCCTTATGGCTCAGAGAGGAGACAGACTCATGAGTGACTGAGCCATGTGTCCTTGGAGCTGGACCTGGGGATTCCCTGCCTCTCACTTCTGTCCCAGTTGTGTTCTGGTAGCCCCTGATAGAGCTTCTATTTGAATTGCCACTTTCCTTTTTATTTGTATGCTATGAAAGTCACAGAAGCACAGCACTGACATCTTAGGTAGCTGCAGAGTACAACTCTAAGGTTGTGTGTAGGTGAGGGCTTGGCATGCTCTGAGAGCCCTGAATACTTTTGGTAGCCTACAGAGAAGGCACAGCAAAGGTTCTCAAATTTATTTTTAGCTTTACCTTCTACTTTGATTTAAAAAACAAAGGTAACTTTTATATTGTCATAGAACAAACAGATGCAAGATTTAAACCTCACAATTGATGTACTAATTTTATGTTCTTCTCACAGTTCTACCATAAAGTGTGCCAAAAAGTTGCTAGTACATGAACTGGAGCTATTTAGGGACAGAGTTTTCATTGATCTGTGACAGAATGAAAGAAAAAGGCTCACATATGGAGGGTGGCCAAGTATCTTTGCTTAAGAAGAGCTGTGTCATAGTCTAAGATTATATCCTTTCCTCAGTTTTAGTGTTAAAATGTCCCATCTTTTATGAATTGTTGGTGATAGTAAGCTGTGGTTATTTTTATATATCACCCTGGCTTGGGAAAGCAAAAAGTTAGCAGAATTATGTTGGTTCCTAAGACCTTTCTTGTAACTTTACTCGGTATTAAAATTCCAAGGTCTGGAACACCTGGTGTGGTCCAACTTCTCTCCCTATGTAGGAATTCCCTGATGGAGGAGGTAGGACTCACCCTGTTCCAATCCTTGCAGAGACAGCCCTGTAGAAGTCTAATTTTCAGGGAGTTTTTGCTGTGGGTCAGCAGGGGTCTGTGCCCTCTGCTGGGCTTGTCTGGGTGTCTCAGCTGGGGCAGCCCTGCTCCATGTATCTCTCATGCTCCCCCTAGGATCAGTGGGCTAGCTCAGGCATGCTCTTTTCATGGCAGCAGGACAGGCACCAGAGCGCAATTGGCAGCATGCAAGGCTCTTGAGCTCTAGTCTTAGACTAGACTAGAGACAGAGACTTAGCTAAGACTAAGAGACAGCTTAGACTAGACTAGAGCACATTGCCACTTCTGCCTCATGCCATTGACCACAATATGTCACAGAGTTGAGGGGTGGGGAATTATATTCTGTCTTTTTCATATGAGGAACTCCAAAACTCTATGTTAAAGGGCATGAAGACAGGGAAGGAAGAAGAATTTAAACCAATAATGTAATATATCACAATCCCAATATAAATATCCCCCCCCCCGCAGCGTAAAACAGTCCTAGTTAATTTAGCTAGATTTTAGATATAGGTTAAAAATGACTACCATGATTATTTCTTTCCCTTTCCTCATGCACATTTGAATGTGCTGTGGTGTGATCCAAACAGCAAGTAGACAAACAGTCTGAAGATAGGGGGTGGGTGCATTCTAGAACTTAGTGGCTCTGTGACCTTGGATGTGTCTTTTAAATTCCCCATCTGGGAAATTGGCATCGTAACATCTACTTCACAGGCTATGTATGAATATCAAGCCAACAGAAGTGCTTTTTCTGCCACAAAAACCCATGTCAGTGTGTGTGCTGATGTCTCTTGGGGCTTGGGGTCAGATACCAGAGACCCCAGCTCCTCTGGGAAACAGAGTTTGGGGAAATGGACTCAGAGCACCCAGGAGGAAGGGAAGGGGAACTGGCTTCCCTCTGGGACCACAGCATTCTAGATAAAGCCTCTTCTGTTAAAAAGAATGATAATAAAGTAAGTCTTTGTTTCTCCTTTGTTCATTGTTATGTTCCATGAGTTATAAGAAAGACTTGTAGTTATATAAAACTATTCCTGAGAATAGTACCATATAAGCTTGGCTTTGGGAAAAAAATCTATTTTTGGACTTGGACATTTATCTAAAATTATTAAGAATGCCCTCTGTCTAAATATTGGTTCAGTCAGAACCTATTTCTTTTTCTGAACTTTACTTCTGACACATAGTCACAGTGTAGTCCATGGTTTATTGTTTGAGTGACAACCCATTGGCTGTCTTGCTGCTTAGGCTTGACACAGAATGGGGCTATGTTGTGGATAATGTAGCTGGCATGGGTACATTATTTTTGTGAGACCCTGCTCGGGTGCTGGAAATGGATCTCAAGCATGGCCTCACCTGGGCTTGGGAGGCCGGCTGTACCTGGTAGGATGTTATTGGCATGTCTATTCTGACAAGCACTAAGTGGGAGTCCCACCAGGGAGGAGACCCCTCCATCCATATAAACAGTGCAGTCTGCATGGAGTCCTGCAGTTAGGGGTGGCTTTCCTGTGTGACGTGAGAGCTCCAAAGTTGGATGGGCACCACTTCCTAGCTGTCCACACTGTGACCTCAGAACTTATTAAGAGAGGAACACAGCCGGGCTCGGTGGCTCAGCCTGTAATCCCGCACTTTGGGAGGCTGAGGTGAGTGGATTGCCTGAGCCCGCGGGTTCGAGACCCGCCTGGGCAACTTGGTGAGACCTCATCTCTACAATAAATCAAAAAATTATCCAGGCATGGTAGTGCGCGCCTGTAAGCCCAGCTACTTGGAAGGCTGAGGTGGAAGGATTGCCAGAGCCCCAGCAGGTCGAGGCTGCGGTGGCCGGGAGCGGCCACTGCACTCCAGTCTGGGCGACAGAGTGAGACTCCAAATCAAAAAAAAAAAAAAAAGAGAGGAACACTGAAGGTCACTGAGTTGCTAGTTTCTAAAATGGACCCCATATCTTCAGACTCTTTGTCCACATTGCTGTTTGGATTATACTATAGCACATCCAAAGGTATTTGAGGGAAAGGAAGGAAGTAGAAGTCACAGGCATCATTTTAATGATGACTTGGGAGATGTTTGTCTTGGAAAGGAGAAACTGTGGGATGGAATGGAGAGGAAAGAGCCACGCCCTCAATCTCTGGAGCCCTTTTTTGAGAAAGGCGGACTGTTAAAGGGAACTAGTGTCTAGGAGGGGGTTCTAAAGAGACACATTTCACTTCAAGAGAGGAAAGACCTTTTTGATGGCTACAGCATGCTCTTGGGCAGTCTTGATAGAGAGCGAACTTCCTAGATGGGAGAATGGAGGGCCTTTAAGTTTTCTGCCCCTGGGCTCTGTGATGCAGTGTGGTTCTGAGAGCAGGTGCCCTTGACATTGTTCCAGGACTGCTGTCCCTGCTCCTGCCAAACCGTCAGTTTCCTCAGGTGGTCATGAACATTGGAAAGGTTGGCCAGGATGTGGGGCTGGCCACAGAATGGGTGCTTGGGGGTCGATGGGCTGAGGATAAGGATGTTATTCACCCTATGACTGTTGGGCCTTACCCTGCTTATTTCTCTGTTACTGTT